AATACCTATCACCAAGTAAACCTAGAGATTAAGTAAGAATAAACTGGTGAATATAATAGAAGCAGGAGCATAGAAAGGGAGTGAACTGACCTTTGGGGGGGGGGAAGGAGTGTGGGGGGTGCGGGAAGAGACAGGACAAAAATCGTACACCTATGGATGAGGACATGGGGGGGGGTTAAGTGCAGAGGGTAGGATGGGTACTGGGTGGAGAGGAGCTATGGGAGGAAAAAATAGGAACTGTAATAATCTGAACAATAAAGATTTAATTTTAAAAAAAGACTGTAATCCCTACCTGGGTTTCCTTCAGTTTATGCTGGGTTCCTACTGAGTTCTAAATTATAAATCTGGTCAGCCCTGTCAATCAAATGCTTTAATGACACTATTACTAGTACATACAATAGTAGGCCTAAAATCCCTAGTACAGTTAAGACCTTGCATAATCTGGCATCTTAGTTTTTGATACTTTCCTATTCCCTATAGTTTTTTATCACATTATATAGTTGAATGGTTTCTCACATGCCTTCTTTCCCATAAAACTTGTCATTTCCTTTTTCTCAAATGCCTCAAGCATTCCCTCTGTCCCTGACCACCCCAAGAATACGGATACAGTAAACTCTCAATTTTGCAGACCTTGATTTAATAGAATTCGGTTTTAACAAACAAAAATTCTGGCCTATATGTAGTATGTGAAAATTAACACCCGTTAAATTTGTTTATAATTAACAGGTTATTATTATTACTATTATTATCAATATATTTTTGATTTTTTACAGAGAGGAAGGGAGAGACACAGAGAGTTAGAAACATCGATGAGAGAGAAACATCAGCCGCCTCATGCACATCTCCCACTGGGGATGTGCCTGCAACCAAGGTACATGCCCTTGACCGGAATCGAACCCGGGACCTTTCAGTCCACAGGCCGACGCTCTATCCACTGAGCGAAACCGGTTTCGGCAACAGGTTATTATTTTTAACAAATTTTATCAAATAGGCCATATAGTAGAAAGGACATAATTTCACCAACATAAATATTACATATCTATAACTATAGGCTACATATTTAAATCCACAAGCCACTACTCATAAATAAACAATGTTCAGGGAGTGACTAGCGCTTGACCTGATGTTCTGACATGCACTAAGTCACATCCCAGCCATGTGTATTTGTTTACTTGCAGTGACTGGTGAATTTACTAGACTTTATTCAGTATAAATTTAAAATTACTGTAATATATATAGATAGAAAAGTTTCCTGTGAAAGTAAACTTTTCATACATAATTAATTTCAATTACACAAACTTGTCTATGTAAATAGAAACAGGTTAACTAGTCAATTTTTTTAACATAAGCATCTGGAAAACCGTTCACTATATAATGGACTTTCGGCTTTAAAGGGGTCTCCCTTGCCCAAATTAGTCCATTATATTGAGGTTAGTCAAATGAGACGTATTACAAATACCAGCCCATTTCTGTGAAACATGGACTCTTCTAACAGCAAATCTGACTTAAAGATCACCACTGGACTAAAGCAAACCTTTCCTAGATTGGGTGCTATGAGTACCCAATGCTAATCCTTTCCTACAGCCTCTCCTTCAAAGGTCTTTCACACCACAATACATTTTTAGCATACTAATTGTTTCCCAGCATCTATTTAGGGAACCCAAATACTAAGAGGGGCTGTTTGGCAAAGTCCATTTATTTCCATGGGATGGCAAGACTTGTTAATAAAGGATTAGTTGCTAAGGCATCAACTCACAACTACCATATTACAAACTGATTAACTTGATTCAAACTTTTATTTCAACATTTTGAGATCTAAAATATTCTGCAGCCCTGCTTAATTTCCTTAATATGCTAAAATATCTCAATCCTGCACTTTTATATTAAAACAGAGCCAAATAAAGTTACACTAATGAGGCAACACCAATCCTGACTCCCACACACATAGATAATGCATGCAGCATTATTTTGACATTTTTAACATACAAATTATTTCCACTTGTGATACACTGGAATGCTTTGTCCATTCACAGCGCCAAGGATATCTCATCTCTGCCTATCCAGCACACTGCCAATACCATTAATATAGTCTCCATTCAAATTTCTCCCAACTACCATTTTTAAGTCACAAGTTTTCCACCCAATCTATATTGAACAGTGAATACTATTGTACATTATTTTAAAAGATCAAGATAATAAGTTTCTTCACCGACTCTCAATCTAATCTGGGAGGCGGTTATCAGAATATTTAGTAAAATGCAGTACCAAAGTTGAAATAAACTGTTACAAGGAAGTTGTGGATTCATTTTGAGGTGCAAATCTAGGAAAGTTATCATGGTGCTTACCTGTACGGGCTAAAATTATTGGCTTCTGTACTTCCTGGAATATGCTATGTCTCCACTTGTCCAAAAGCTTATCAGGGGCTAGGTTTAAGTACTCCATCACTTTCCAATGTACTTCTTTTTCACTGTCCCCCAGTCCGTTAACTTGTCCCCTCTCTCCCTTAACCTGTAAGGCCTGATACATTATTCCTATCCAGTTGTTTAAATCTCTGTAATCATCACTACATACAGCCCTCTGACTTCCTTGTATTTGTATACTCTGAAAATACCTGATAACTGCCACCATTTAAGCACATAGCAAGCGAATTTAGGGCAAAAGTGATTTTTAAGCCATTTGACCAAAACACAAGAAAACAAATCCATTTTATTTATTTTCAGTGTTTAAATCCTTGAGGGGTACAGCATCTAAAGGGGGGAAAAGAAAATGTCATTAGGTGCATGTTATATATACAAATTTACAAATGTCAATAGTAACACAATATCAATAAATGTCCTCCCATTTTCCCATTACTCATCTCTGAAAGGCATCCAATGACTTATATGTAGGTCAGGGGAGGAACCAAGTTTTTATGGCCTTCAATTTTTAGGTGAACGTGTTTTGATTAAGGAACATTCTGGAATACCGAAAGTCCATTTAATTTTGCTTCTTCTAATGACAATAAAAAAACCTCCTTTGATAAGAAACCTCTAACTGCTCACCAGGGTTCAATGTACCCCAGGTTACCCAAGACTATGGCCATGACTATGAAAAATAGATACTAACTGCTACACTGAAAGGCTTTGAGTTCATTCCCTATTCCTGGTTGGGGTGCTGTCAGGGTGCATAAGGAAGGCAATGTTTCTCTCTCTTTTTTTAAAAATACGTTTTTGTTAATTTCAGAGAGAAAGGGAGAGAAATATCAATGATACCAATCACTGATCAGCTGCCTCCCCATTGAGGACCGAGCCTGCAACCCAGGCATGTGCCCTTGACCAGGAATCAAATCCAGGATCCTTCCACAGGCCCACTGCTCTATCCACTGAGCCAAACCAGCCAGGGCCTCCCCTACCCCAACCCCCCCATCCATTCTGTCTAAAAATAAACATTTTGTGGGCACATTCTGTCTAAAAATAAACATTTTGTGGGCCCAGCCGGCATGGCTCAGTGGTTGAGCATCAACCTTTGAACCAGTCAGGGCACATGCCCAGGTTTCCTGCTTGATCCCCAGTGTGGGGCCTGCAGGAGGCAGCCCATCAATGATTCTCATCATTGATGTTTCTATCTCTCTTTACCTCTCTGAAATCAATGAAAATAAATTTTTTAAAATCTGGTGAGGATTAACAAAAACAAACATCAATTTTCTTCCACAAAATAAAAGTAACACCTAATCTAATAAAACTGTCATGATGAAAAGATGGAAAAATATTAAGAATTATGCCAGTAAATGGTATGCTGATTTTTATTTTTTTTTAAATATATTTTATTGATTTTTTACAGAGAGGAAGGGAGAGGGATAGAGTGTTAGAAACACTGATGACAGAGAAACATCGATCAGCTGCCTCTTGCACATCTCCCACCGGGGATGTGCCCGCAACCAAGGTACATGCCCTTGACTGGAATCAAACCTGGGACCCTTCAGTCCGCAGGCCAACGCTCTATTCACTGAGCCAGACCTGTTAGGGCGGTATGTTGATTTTTAACTTCCTAGCCACTTCTTTAATGTCCAATACATGTCTTTGCCAGAAATTTGTTCATTTATTTTATTTTACTGATTTTTTCAGAGGAAAGGGAGGGGACACAGAGAGAAACATCTATCTACTACCTTCTGCACATGCCCCAACCAGGCATAGAACCCCAAACGTGGGAATTGAACCTACTACCTTTTGGTGCCCGAATGATGCTCCAACCAAGCCACACTAGCCAGGGCAGAAAATTATTCATTTAAATATTATTTCCCTCCACAAAGCTTAAGCAAAATCTGAAATCTAGGCACAATTCACTCGAAAATTGTGCCTTCACTTTCCTTCTAATGTCATGAATTTTATGTTCCATAATACATTTACACAGGAGCCACTAATTCTGTAGCATAATCTTACTAGTAACATTTTTATAATCACAAAAGTTCTTAGAGACCAAAGTCCAACACCTTGAGCTTAGTTTGACTCAACAAGTATTTTGCTTATAATTGTACTTACTACACGGATTCTGTGTCCAATAGCCTTAGCAGGAAGGTTGCTTCGGAATTTAGCACGAACCATTCCACTGTTTCCATGAGCACGAGTTACCTTTCCCCAGATTACTCTGGTTTTGTTTGGTTTGCCACCAGGAGTCACCGTGTTGCTGATTTTAAAAGGGAATACAAAAAAAACCGTGAGAACCCAGGCAATTAGTACTATAATGTGGTACAAATTCTAAGTGACATATAGACCAGTGGTTAACCCTAGCTAACCACTTAAGTCATTACATAAAAGCCTGCGGCATCATTCACTCAACAATGTCCTTGTAACATACCTACCATACGCCAGACACAGTGCAATTGTTTGGAATTTTGTAAAATAGTTTACAAAACAAATTCCTTTTAGAGGATAACAAAGTATATAGCCTTCATTTACATGTAACTAAAACAGAATGTAAGATGGTTAAGAGTTTTTGAAATATTGAGAAAGAAAAAAGGAAAGGGAATCAAGCAGTTTGAGGTACTTGTGTGCATCAAATTTTAAAATCAGGAAAGTCTCACTAAGAAGGAAACGAAGACTGAGGAGGTGTGTCTTTTGCTTGTGACAAGGCAGAAGAGACCAAGAGGTGAATACTAGCTAGATAAAGAGTAGAAACAGAGTCTTGAAAGCATAGTTTTTAATGACTTTGGCTTTTACTATGACATGGGAGCTTGAACAATGTACAGATGACCTGACATAATTCAAAGGATCACTCTTGATTGTAGGAGAAAAGGACGACAAAGATGAAAGCATGTACTCAGAGATTTTAATTGGTCTGGAATGGGCTTAAGAACCCAGGATAGAGAATCGATGCTCTGGAGACATACATCTTTAAGTATGTATATGAAATATAATTTCAAGGAAATCAACCAAATGAATTAAGATACAGGAAAAGCACTCTATAAAATCTTAATATCATAATATAAAGAGCTGGCTCCTTCCTTGAAATAATGAACAGCTGTGATTAACTGTAGGAGATACTTAAATACAACACTACCCTCACAAGTAACATCCTTCTATATCTATAACCTCCCATGAAGTTCCTAAACGTCCCAAAGTACAAGCCACAACAGTACCAATGTACTCCTGCTTGCATAGGGAAATGGAAGAGATCCCAAACAACTCAATACGCATAACCATACTATAAACTTACTTCTTTGCTTTGTACACGTAAGCACATCTCTTGCCTAGATAGAATTCTGTTTCATCTCGAGCATAAACACCTTCAATTTTAAGAAGCGCCGTGTGCTCCCTCTGGTTCCGGAGACCCCGCTTATAGCCAGCAAAAATGGCCTTGGACCACAGCCTAGGACACACAGAATATGTATCAGCCACAAACTGCTGCAAGATCTCGTTTAAATTCAACAAACTACCAGTCTGATCTGACTTGTAATGACCCCATCCACCAGTTAGCCACAGCAAACATCTAATCCCCCCTCCCCCCGCACTAGTTTCCAGTTCACCTTTACTTAGGTCCCTGCCTAATGAACAAAAAACGACAAGAACAAAGCGAGTATATTAAAAACGCATACCTTCCAGACATATTGGTCCTTATAGAAGTCCTGTTCCCAGCTTTAAACAAAAAAGAAGCAGTTTAAATTCTTGCCACGCACGTTCCCCACCTAGTCCCTGCTTTTCTTAAAGTTTAAGGCTTAAACCTGTCGGCATGTCCCGTTCAGAGCACGGGGAGACGTCACTGTGCTGCTTAGCAAGCACATGAAGGGCCGCCTGGCAAGACACTCCAACGTCGGAGAATGCCCGGTAACTAAGTAAACTCCAAAATGAAAGTTGCAAGATGGTACACCTGCAACCCCTAGAAAACTCCTAAAGGAAGTCCTAAGAAAACTCATGTCACGATCACTAGAAAGATCAACAAGTCAGAGAAGCACGGAGAAAACAAGACTCTTAAGCAATGAATGGGAAAGGAACAGAAGCTAGAGATTACAGACAAAGCCAGGTTTGCAGGGAGAGCAAATGGAAAGAACCCCACCAAAAGCTGCCGCTGTCTCAAAAAGGTGAATGCAGACGATAAAGTGCTTGTCTCATGTGGTACGGGCCCAGGAAGCAACTCTGACTACGGAGCACCCCGTTTCTCGGGCGTCAGGGGACCAGCACCATCGGCCCCACATCTCCTCCATCCTGTCCTCCCTGTTGCTGGGACCCATCAAAATCAACGCCTGGCAGAGCCCCCGTGCCCCAGCAGTGCCTCTCCGCGAGATGTGGTGGAACCCACTCCAGTTATTTACCCCTAAACTTCAGCCGCAGCGCTTCCACTAACCTCCACAGGGTCCAAGATGGCGGAAAAAGGAAGGCAAGGCACCGCCGCGTGGCCTTGTGGGAGAAACACCTCTCCGCCCCGCCCTCAGTTTAGGCATCTTCCGCAACCGCCCAAAGAAAACACACATCGGGAAAAATCCTTTCTGACTAAAACCAGCCACATTCAAAAGCACTCTCACAGTTGTGTCCCTAAGTAATTTCAGATTTGTAAGCTGCAAAGTGTATGATATTGGAGCAGAGACAGGCAGAGCGGTAGCCAGCTAAAGGAGGAGAACCAACGGTCCCAGAAAGCCCAGCGTTGCCTTAGAAACATCGTGGTTGGGTTCCTGCGTCATCGCGTGCGGTAGGTGGAAAAAGTGAGGCCGACTGAGAAAGTGAGGCGGGTCGGAGGACGTCACCCCCCGTTCCGGGCACCTCAGGTTTGGTTAGCCAACGTGGGGGTGTCTTTCGCTCTTACCGCACAGGAGTAGGGCGAGCGGGGCCTCGGAGCCCAGCGTGGAGGAGAGAGGCCGGTCGCACGAAGGGGGAGCTCTTCTCTGTGCCTCCCCCTCTCCCCTTCCTCTTTCCTCTTTCCTCCTTCCTCCTGTACTCCTTTCTCTCTTCCCAGAAATAACTTAAGCTCTCACCTCATCCTTTGTTTTGTCCCCGAGGGTAAGGAGAAAACAAGGCTTTTTTTTTTTCCCCGTGAAAAATCCTTATTCCTTTTTAGGGAGAACTCACTCAACTGCCATGGAAACTGGGCGCCTAGTAATAGGTCTTGAGTAATTACTTGTAGAGACAAGCTTGATATAGATTAATGGACGTCGGAGATTTTCATTTCCTGATTATCGCACAATTGTTTGGGATCCATTCATTTATCGAACCGTGTATTGAACGACTCCCCTGTACCAAGCTTGGTTTTTGGCTCCGAGGACATTGCAGTAAACAAAACAAGAGAGATCTGCCCTCACAGAGTTGACTTTCTAGTCGGGGGAGCAAAGTATATTCCGAGTACATTTAAAATGTAACGCTGACCAGGTTTGCTAATGCTTAAGGAGTGAGAGAGAAAGAGTAAAGGATGACTCCAGAGTTTTATGTGATAGATGTATATCAGTCCTATTTCAAGTCAGATCCTTATAAATATACATCAGGATAGAGTTTGTGTGCCTTTATGGCCCACTCCCCCCATCCGATTTTCTGTATCCGAGAAATATACTAGAAACTCACTGTGAGAGAATGTGCTGACAATTCCAGCATTAAATGTATTAGAAAAGTATTCCTCGGAGGAATAACGCATTGTGAGTTTGATTCCTTTGTTGGTTCATTCTACAGATATTTATTGAACATGGTGCCTGGAACGTAGGATGCAATAGTGAGCATCAATGTCATGGTTCCTGATCTCATGGAACTTAACAGTCTAGTGGGGGAAACGGACATAAACATTGCAAAGTGTGAAGAGAGTGTTGCAGGAAAATAAAAGTGTAGTCAAATCGGTGCTTGCACGGAGGAATCCTGCTCCAGCCGGATGGAGGAGTAAGGGAAGGTGTCACTTGCAGAAGTGTCAGTCAAGGCATTTTCAAACTGCAGGTGGTCACCCATTAGATCATCATCATAATCCTTTTTTAAGGCCCATGCAATAGAATGAAAAATAGAATGTATCACAAATGCTACGGGTAAATTATTTTATGAACCTTTTCCAGTTATGTTCATGGATGTGTATTTACATATATACTGTATATAAAATGTGTGTGTGTGTCATTGTAGGTCCTTGTGTCAGTGTTGTCCTGGCAGGAGAGGATTGGCAGAGTTGAAGAGAATTTAATAAGGAGTCTGCGTACAAAGGTGTCGGCAAGAGTGAAACTGCAAGGGATAATTCATGCTCCAGACACACGGGGAAGACGTTACCCGAGCCCCCAAGAGAGAGCAATATGGAGAGGGTTGCCTGACAGGAGCCATGGCCTTTGATAGAGAAACAGCCAAGTAATGGTGGTCCGGAAGAGAGGAAGCTGGGGGAATAAACACGGGACCTTACAATCCTACTCTTTGGATCTCTTTTGAAATTTCCCACTGATGCATGAGGCAGTCCGTGTGGATTAGAATCCCAGGGCACAGGAAGTGATGGAGATTACATTTAGAGGGGCAAAAGGCGGATACGTAGCAAAATGGCACTAATTTAAACTGCTGCCTGATGGGACTTTACAAGATGAGAGCCACGAGAGCAAAAAGAAAGGCAGCGCCAGATAGATATGGGAAAGAACAGATCATGAAGGCCTTGTAGGCAAAGTTAAGAATTTTATCTTTTGTCCTAAGGCAAAGGGAAACCATGGATGGGCCATGATCAGAAGTTTTTTATTGTCTTTATTATTAAAAATATTACCCATGCCCCCTTTTTTCTCTTTTGACCTCTTCTAGCCTGAGCCCTCCTCCTTTGCCCCAGGCCTTCACTGCACTCTTGTCTGTGCCCATGGGTTATGCATATAAGTTCTTTGGTTCATCTCTTCCCACCCACCCTTGTCTTCCCTTATGATCAGATTTTCAATTTTAAAAGATCATTCTTTCGTTTTAAAAAGATCACTTCCAGCCCCAAACCGGCAGCCAATCAATGATTCACTCTCAGTATTGATGTTTCTATTTCTCTCTCCCTCTCCTTCCCTCTCCAAAATCAACAAAATAGATATTGAATAGATATATAAAAAGATCATTTTCAGTCTGACTGGTGTGGCTCAGTGGTTGAGCATTGACCCAGAAACCAAAAGGGACTCGGGAACCAAGAGGTCACTGGTTTGATCCCTGGTTAGGGCACATGCTCAGGTTGTGGGCCCAATCTCCAGTAGGGGGCGTGCAGGAGGCAGTCAATCAATGATTCTCTCTCATCATTGATGTTTCTATCTCTCCCTCTCCCTCTCTGAAATCAATAAATACACATATTTGTTTTAAAACAA